GTAAGGCCAGCGCTGACCCCATCCCTACCCCACACCCACTGCCCTATTTTCTGCTTTGTATTTTTGTCCACAACACTTTATTCACATACCCTGAGTTGTATTTACTGGTAATGTTTATTGTCTGTCCCTTTACTAGCTCTACAAAGTTCGTGTCTGGCACCCGATACAGATCAGAGGACCGAATACAAATGCGTGCAGAAGGAGTCCTGGCTGCTAACTGGAGCCTGCTCCCAGTCCACCGGTAACTCTTCAGGATCAGTCTGGAGGATGTCTGATGCCCCTTGGCATCTGTACCTTTAGGTTGTAGGAGGCACACAAAAACGGAGACAGTAATTTAAGCAGTGTGTTATGGAGGAGTCTAGTCTCGCTCAACTCCTGAACCCAAGGCTGAGAATAACGGGCAAGCCTGTTTATGAGGCTCCATTTCCTATTGTTCAGGTCGTGAGAGCCTGGTACCCAAAGTTGGCCTAAGAGACCCACCAGAGAGCTGGAGAGGGCAAAGTATCCCTGGACATCTTTTCTTTCCTTTGCTCTGTGCAGGTTTTTTACCCACACTCAAGGGAGTTCTCAGCATTTCGGGAGATCAGCTCCAGCCTCACCGCCGCCGCCTCCGCCGCTAGGTCGCGAGCGCGCATCTCCACCGCACCGCGGCGCAGGGAGCGACTCGCACAGCTCAGGCCCGCGGCGGTGGTGAGGCTTGGGCACTGGAAGAGCTGGACGCTGCAGAGCCTGCGGTAACCCGGGGCAGGACGGGGCGCGGGGCTAGTCTGGGGTCCGGGTGCCTTTCAGTATGCCCCGGGATCGAGATCGGAGTGGGTGAAATTGGGGAGGGCGGGGAAGTGCCATTCGTGTTTGGACCATACCGAGGGCAGCTAGAGGGCCTCCTGAAGGGCTCCCAAGTTCGAAGCCTGCCCGGCTGCTGAGGACAGCCCTTCTAGCCCGAGTGGGTCATACAGCTCCTTGTGCTAAGCTGAGCATCCGGTGGGCGGACTGGGCACCACGACCTGGCCACACCCTCTCCCGCAGGTGAGAAACTTTCCTGCTGCTGGGTCTGCAGCCCCCGGTAGCGCATCACATCCACAGAGCCCAGAGGCTGGAGACCTGCGCCTCTAGACCAAGGGCGTGGTCCCCAGATGCGCACCCCCTTCAGTGAATCTGTTTGTTTTTTACGACTAACCCTGCGGTTGACAGGTTTGTTCAGACTAGGGAGCAGGTCTTGATTCACCTTACTGGTGAGATGGCAATTAACTACTTCCTCCTGCGTTCTTCTCTGTCCTATTCGATGTAGTGAACTGAGGAAGGCTTTCTGAGACCAAGTGCGACAGAAAACTGTTCTGAAGCTTCGGTTTCCACAGCGCTTTAGATGACATGGAGCACCGGATATTGTACTCGATTTAATCTGGCAACGATGAAGCAATCGGGAATGTTTTGAGAGCAAAAGAACCTTGGAAGAAAGTGCCCTGTAGCTCCAGGGAAGCCAGAGGAACTGCCACACACGAATTAATCCTTAAGAACTGCCCCCTCCTGCAAGTAAGTAGCAGTATTTCCAGCGCGCAGGTAAAAATGAGATGAGAGAGCTAAGTACATTTTCCAACCTGATTCCACCAGTTACTAGTGGGGGCGGAGGGAGATTTGGAAACTAAAGCTGTGATTCCTGGCTTGGAGTACAGCAGCAAAAACAGGTACAAGAATGGCCTGGGCTGCAAGGATCCAGGGAAGGTGGAGGGACTGTTAATCGGTTTTGTTGCAGTGTGTTATAGCAGGGAGGTGATATCGATGGCGTGGGGGTGGGGCCAGGGATAAGTAGCTCTTTGGGAGGGAAGGCAGAGGCCAGCTCAAACTGCTTAGGGGAGGTCTTGAAGCCGGAAAGGGACTACTTGAAGCTTGCCTGGCCGGCACCCTGGAGCAGGGAAAGCATATTGGAGTCGCCTTTGCACAGGCGTGAGGCATGAGAATAGAGCCAGGAGACTTTTCAAAAGATGGAAGCATTGCCTCCCAGAACAACTTCTTCTAAAAGACAGCTCAAGACCACCCAGGAAAGCATTCCCAGAGATCATTTACAACAAGCTGGGCTGTGGATGGGGGTGTGCCATGGCCAAGCTTCTACAGATGTGAGTTATGACTCATTAGGGTAATGATGCTAGCCTGGTAGGTAGAAGCAGCATTTTGAAATCATGAAACTCAATAGAGGGGAAGAGAAAACATCAGCACTTACTGTGAGAGCCAGAGTGGATGTGTGTTCTTGTGGATGTTTTTCTGTTGTGTAACCTGCTGTTGCTACCTTCTTAGCCCTGGCTGCTCCAAGCCTGCCCCTGGGCTGAACCTCTGAAGCCTCTGCTTACCCAGGGTGGTCTTTTACTTTGCAAATGACATCATTTTCACATTCTTCTGGTTTCTGTTGGCTGGCAGATGCTGGGACATTTCACCACTCAGAATCCACTTCTGAATTCCTTTTTTTTTTGGGGATCTGTAAGGTCTGCGGGGTGACAGTAACTTGCTGAGGTGCTTCCTCATATATGTTTCCTTTAATCCCCAGGCCATGGTGACCGTTGTTTCCATTTTATATCAAAGAACCTACAGATATGTTGGAGTCACTGACCCCTAAAATATACGTGTGTGTATCTGTTTTTATGTGTGTGTGTATGTGTGTGTATACAAGGATATATATATGAGATATTATATATATGTACATATATATATATATATGCAATATAAAAGTGCACCTGGCTTTGCAGAGGCATGGAAAGCAGTCTCCTGCTATAGCAAAGGACGAGGCGTGGGGAGTATTTAAAATGAGTAGGCCTCTTTATGTGTGCTTTCTCCCTGGTGCCAGTTACTAGGACAGAAATATACGATGGTGGGAGGCACTGATTAAAGTTGCAATAACTACAGATCTGAGGGGAAACGTATCTGAAAAAGATAATAATCCCAGAATTTCAGGCTCACAGTCAGGTTCAAGCTCTAGCTCTGCGCTGAAGTTCAGAGATGGCTTTAAAATAGAGGACAGGGGACTGGGGAGCTGTCTAGGTGGTTAAGAGCACTGGCTGCTCTTCCAGAGGGCCTAGGTCAATTTCTGGCACCCACACTGTCCGTAACGTCTGTCGTAGACCACTTCTCCTGGTCTCCCTGGGCACTGCATACAGACAGTTAGTAAAATGCTTGCAGACAAGCATGAGAACTGAATTTGGATCCCCAGCACCCACATTTAAAAATGTCAGGTGTAGTGGCCATAATCCTGGTGTTACAGAGGTGGAGACAGGAGAGTCCTTGGGGCTGGCTGGCCAGCTAGTCTTTCTGAATCAATGAGCTTCAGACTTGAGAGAAGATCCTGTGTCAGAGAGCAAGGTGGAGAGGAATAGAGGAAGGTGCCTGATGCCAATCTTTTCCTTCCCCACACAAGCATGCACACACATGCATATATGCCACCTACCATGGGCATCCAGATAAGGGGCACATAATTGTAAATTCCATTGTATGGGAAACTGAAGTAAGAGGGTATGTTTGAAGCCAGCCAGTGAGACCTTGTCTCAAAGAGGTGTGTGTGTGTGTGTGTGTGTGTGTGTGTGTGTGTGTGTGTGTGTAGAGGGGGAGGGGAATAGGAAGAGATGAGATGGTGGGATAGTGCCTCCGTGGTGAGCAGCATTCATGTGAAAGACATCCTGGGGTTTCCATAATCTAGCTTAAGTGAGGCCTAGTGAGGAGACTTGGAATTCCTTGGTAAGGGCATGCCATTCCTCACCCACATTTGTGTGGAGCTTGTTACATGTCGGGATAATAGGAGTGTTATCTTTTACTGCAACCCATGGAACAAGACCATGAGGTGGAAATGGGATTATCACTATGCCCATTTAGCAAATGAAGAGACAGAAGCACACAGGAATGAGGTACTTGTCCATGGTTCCATTGCCAAAAGACAGGATCGATGAGAGTAGAGCCAGGCACATAACCATCATCACCTGCTCCCTCCTTGTGGTGTTAGGATCGGAGAAGCCCAGGGTCCCCTGCACTCCATGTTCAATTCTGAGCAGCACCTATTTAGAGAATAGGGGCCACTTCAAAGAACCAGGAGTAAGGTGGCTGGACATAAGGGTCTGGAGACCAACAGACAGCATCAGCCTGGCAGAGAAGAGGCATGGCCAGCACTTGAGTCAGTCCTGAGATAGTTGACCAGCAGGATGTGGCTTCATTCCTAAGGTCGGTGGTCAGGACTGTTCAGAAGAGGGGTTGCCCCACAGGATTAGAGGGCGCTGCATTTTATTTTCCAATGCTCACATTCAACTCTTAGACAACAAGAAGAAAAAAATTTGGAAATTAACACTCAATCAAAAAAAAAAAGTGAGTGTAGGTAAAGTAAGGGCACCAGGGTAAGCTTTCTGACGAAGGCACACACTTTCAAGTTCGGAGAACTTCCAAATGAAAGCGCTCAGCTGCCAAGTAGAAAGTTCAAGGTTGCTATCTGAAGGCATTTCGGTAAACTGTGTACCTACCAGCCTCTTCAAGAATTCAAGGGTTGCACTGGGGAGATGACTCAGTTGGCAAGGTGCCTGCCTGCCTTGCAAACATGAGGCCCTGAGTTTGGATCCCCAGAATCCAGGGGAAAGGCTAGGTGCAATGGGGTCGGCCTATAGCCCTAGTTCTTGGTTAGGGTAGAGGCAGAGCCAGGTGGATCCCTGACATTCACTGATGAGCCAGCCCAGCTCAATCAGAGAGCTCCAGGCTCGATGAAAGACCACTTCTCAAAAAATAAAGGTGGAGAGGAACAGAGGAAGACACGTGACATTGACTGCTGGCCTCCACACACATGGACATACATATGCAGAAGCACCTGCAGAATATGTGCACATGTATGTGCATGCGCGTACACAACACACACACACACACACACACACTTACACAGAGGGAGGGAGGGAGGGAGGGAGGGAGTCAGTGCCGGATTGATGGCAGAGCTCAGTGATGGAGCACTTGCCAACCATAAGTAGGACCCTGTGTTACACCCCCAGCACCAAGACATCTAAGATGAATAATACTACAAGGGCTGAGAGAAGAGGCTGCTGAAGAGACATCTTCAAAGAGATCTGTTGTACTGCCTCTATGCTAAGCCTAGTGCCTGGGCCTTCAAGGGAACAGGAAGTGAGCTGCACAGGTGCTTCATGAGGTGTCCTGGGTAACTGAATCAACCAGGTGAGGAAAGGGGTGCTTGGCCATCTCCTAGGACCAAGAGGGACCACCTAGGAGAGATGACCAGCTGGAGAGTGAGGAGGGCACAGGAGCTGTTTTGAGTAGAGAAGGTGATGAAGAGCCACCGGAAAGAAGACGGGTGTCACTGAGCATGCACAGAGAAAAGGACAGTGCAGTCCTAGCCTCCTGCTTTGACCTTGGATGGGTGAGAAACTGGCCAGCAACTCAGCAGACAATGGAGAAAGAGAAAAGAAGTTCCTCTGATCCCAGACCGGAGCATGGTGAGAGGTCAGAGTTGTGTTTGTGTCCAAGGGCTGGACATTACGGTTCCTGTGGGTCTTTGATGGGGTCGTGTGACAGAAGAGTTGTGGACTCTGCAGTGTTAAGGAAGAAGAATCCATTTCAAAGGGTGTTGGAGAGCAAAAATAAGCAAATACTGGGGCAGGTCCCACAAATTGTGTTGCTTGGAAAGAGTAGCAAGCTGTCTGCTTGATTCCACATTTACTTCTGATGGAGGGAGATTTAGGGGCGGGAGCAGTTAGAAGAGAAAATGCTTACTTAGCCAGCATTCCAGACTCCCATTTGGAAAGGGAGGCTCATCAGAATGTGTGTGTGTGTGTGTGTGTGTGTGTGTGTGTGTGTGTGTGTGTGTGTGTGTAAGAGGGGGGGGAGGGAGGGGAGAGAGAACATCACAATAAACACTTGAAGAGAAGTACCCTGTAAAATTACTGACAATACCAAATGTGCATTTGTCTGTTGTTTGTGGTTGAAAATGACTTTTGCATACATTTCATTTTCCTCAAATTTGACTTTTCTTCAGACACCAGCATAGCAAACAACTGGGGTGGGGCAGGTGGGGAGATGTATTTTCTCTCCTTAGAGAGTTTAGGAGGTTCCTTTAGGTTTTGTTGTTTGGGGGAGAATTGGGGTCCATTTAAGATGACGCTAATACAGTCTAGGAGCCTGGGGATTAAATTCATTTTCTCTGCCAGGCAAAATCTGAAGCATAACAGGTAGCAGCAGAGAAATCTCAGACACGGCAGTCAGAATTAGCAGCTGAAGGCAGGCATTTATCGGGGGTGAGGACTCACATATATGCTACAGACACACAGAGAAAAAGACCCTCTGCAAAGCAGAGACGGGTAAGCCAAAAATCAATTCTCTTCTCTAGGACTGGATTTTTTTAAACCTCTGAAGCATCAGTCTCCTACTTGGGTTGGGATGGGGAGTTTGAAGACAGATAGGGTAGGGGACAGTCCCCAACTGTTTTGTGACAGGCTCTGATCCAGCCTTCAACTTGCTGAGTCAGTCCATCAGTGGGGGACCTGCTGGCTGGAGACAACAGCTGCCTTGCTTCTGTCTCAAGTCAGGAGGTTGAGGAAACGTACCACCTTCCTTACCTAGCCACGGCCCTGCTCCCTGTCTGTCTGCCTAACAGGGAGTTGGTCTAACCCCTCGACTCTCAATGCTGTTATTTTGGGCTTATGCCAAGGTACAAAGTGATTTTTTTTTCCTTTAGTTTTCCTACTAGAGTATGAAAAGCATTTATTCCTGTTAGAAAGATGGAGAAAGCATGTGAGGACATTAATTTTTGTTTCTCCTTCCTTGCGAACATGCTTGTCCAGCCTCATGATAATGTTGCTTAAATGTGACAATCTCTTTATGAAATGCTAAACCTGTTGAAGGTAAAATGTGGGCTGCATGGCTGCTTCTGCCTCTGCCACCAAGACCTATATAATTACTTCCCTGACTGGAGAACATTACCAAAATGTCATAGCCCTTCAAGTGAAAATGATTTACACGCGTCCACCAATCCTCCCCTCAAACGGTGCATTTGCTTCCCCCTCACACATGTCCTTGTCACAGCAAAACAGCTGTCGTGGGGAAGCAGGACTGGCTGGGGGTGCTGCTTCCCACAGGTGCCTGGGGGATCAAGAGAGAGACACAGGAGGTGAGTGAGAGGATGGGAGTGTACATCTCTCCATCTTGCCCTACCCCCCCCCCACACCCACATTAACACACAGAAGCAGGCATTCAAGATGAAGCTCTGGACAGCATCATACAAGCCCGTGTCCTAGTCACAGCTGTGTTTTAAAATTTCCACACAGCCTAATGGAGTGTTAACCTGTATTCCTGGGAGTCTTGAAGCTGAGCTCAGGGTGCCAGAAGCAAGATTATAGCTACCATGGGTAGGCACTTCATATTTAGAATTACTCTTACTGTTGGAAGTTACTTACACTAACTTGCCATAGAAAGCAACTTGCTAAATCCGACTCCAAGTGATACCAAAGGAAGGTAAACTAGGTACCTTTGGAAACTTGGGGACCCTCAGGCAGGGGGCGGACTCCACTTCCCATCCTCCTTTTGCAAGGCCCCTCCTTGCTCTGTTCTCGCCAGGGCTTTTCTGCCAGGTGAAACTGTAGGCTGCTGGAAGCCATCGCTGTCCGTTCTCCACCACACTCCGGCTTGCTTTTTATCGGTAGTTCTGCTGAAGTGGCTGAGGGCTAGACAGATGGAGAGAGTAAACGATGCCCACCCCTTATGTCAGAACTCCAGACCAAGAAGCTGATCCTTGTGTTTGAGCTTTTCTAATGTACCATCTCAGCCTCCTGTATTTATAAGGTCCGACTGAGTCCTCCCCCTTGTACTTGTCTGTCAACAGAAGGATTTAGCTCAGGGCTTGTAGGAGCGGTGTGTGCTGCTTGGGGATGGATACCACTGGAGAGAAGTAAAGTAAGCTGGCTTTAACAAATCACTTCCCAAATGATTTAAGATACTGCCTAGTTTACTTACTGTAGTCTGTGCCAAATGTTTCCAAAGCTCTGATAATTAAAACTTACACAGAGTAGTTCCCTAGGGCCACACAAATGGCCTGACTTTAAAGTTTTATTTCACCTGGCCCCCATGTTTTGGAACCACAGCTATATAAATCAGCATGAGTACTTTGTGAGCAACAGGCTGACCTCTGGGGAGTTGGATTCATGCTGTTTGTATTAGCTACTTTTATGTTGCTGTAATAAAAGACTATGACCAAAAGCAACTTAAGGAAGAGAGTTTATTCGGGCTTACAGTTCCAGAGGGATAAGAGTCCGTCATGGCAGGAAGACATGGCAGTGAGTGGCAGGCATGGTGGCCAGAGTTCCATCCTTAAAGACAGACACAAAGTAGAGAGAACAAACTGGAAGTTGATTGAGGTAGCCTAACCCAGTGGCACACTTCTTCCAACAAGTCTACACCTCCTAAATCTCCCCAACAGGACAATGAACTGGAAACCAAGTGTTCAAATGTCCACCTCGATGATGGACATTCCTCATTCAAACCACCATACTCTCTCCTAAGTAAGAAATTCAAGTCATTCATGTCAATGGAATCTGAGGGAAGAAAAGAGTCCTCGTGTGCTAAAGTAGCTGGATGAGGTAGGTACCACAGTAGAGCAGAGGTGGCGCTGAACCCCTATCATGTGACAAAACTCCTCCTGGGGAGATGCGACACACACATCTACTCACCAAAGGTAGAAAACCCATAACAGCCCAAAGTATGGATACCACCAAAGTCTAGCTTGGTGAGCCAATGAGTTTTATTAGGGTTACTTATAGGAGTATGGGGGGGGGGTACTTACAGGAACAGAAATGACTCAAAGACAGCTGCATCGCCAAGACCTACCCCAGCACGAGTGACAGTTCATAGGAACAGCTTGGAAGGTAGAAGAGGACAGGTAGAAGAAGCTTTGAGGACCATCTTTATTTGCGCCAAGCCTGAGGTCCTGCGCTAAACTGAGACTGTTTTCTTAAAGATGCTTTTGTATCTGCTGTCTATGCCGTCATGATTCCATGCTGCCCTTTACTGTGTGTGTGTGTGTGTGTGTGTGTGTGTGTGTGTGTGTGTGTGTGTGTGTGTGTGTTTGGGAGGTGAAGGTCAGCAGGGATGAGAATGATTCTATATATAAGCCTGAATTCCAGAGTGTACAGGCCTGGGATTTTTTTTTTATCTTCACTAAGTCTCTCATGGTTACATTCAGAGTGTTTGATCTGAACTTTCTCCTCCTAATTCTAACTTGTCTAGAACAATCACTCCTCCTTATCCTTACAGAACAATCTTGTGGGGACTTTATGTACCTGTTGAAGGTGGTACAGAGAGGGTGGATTAATGACAGTTTGGAAATAGCTTTCTTTTCAAAGGTATATTTATTGTTTCATTACTGTAAGAATGATTGGGATAAAGTAAGGTGGATATAATGGACTTTGAAATTCATATTAAATGACAGTTTTGTTTCTAATGAAAGTTTAATTCATCCAAGAGAACAGTGTTTTCCTTAAATTTATTCAGCACTTACATAAGTTTGCTTGAACTCAAGATACCCCAGGCAGAGAAGCTTAAACAACAGACTTGAGTGGTCTTCACCGAGGGCCGTAAGGAAAGGCCCTGTCACAGGCTTCTGACCTTGGCTCACTGATGGCTGCACTTTTGCCGCCTGGACAATGTGATCCCTCTGTGTGTTCCCATCTCTCTCAGGATGTCCATCAGATGGCCTCTGTTCAACTAATTTAGAAGTCCTCTTTCCAAACATAGTTACATTCTGAAGTATCAGGGGTTAAGGGCTTGGCCACAAAAATTATAAGGTGGTCAAAATTCAGTCTATACATGCCATATCTATTATTCTTCTATGCACCCATGTCTGTCTCTTTCATCTATCAGTCATCTGTCCACTATCATCATCTTGTTTATCACTATCATCTATCTATCACGTATCTACCGTCTATGTAGATATACACAAACAATCATGCATATGCTTACAGACATAATCATAACTTTTGAAAATAGGTACCCATATAGAGTTAAGGACGTAAGTAAAAAGCAATTAGTATTTTGTCACAGAATATTCCTGGAAGGAATTTTACCAAATCCTTTTAAACCCTTTACATTTGCTCTCCATGGAAGTGAGCACTTAAGCCATAGAGGGCTTTCACACAAATGCAGTGGAAGCTTAAAAATGAAGAATTTAAGATTCCATGTGTGTTTCCAGAACTGGTTTAGGCTGAGCACAGATACTCCCGTGCTGTCCAAGACTCTCCCAGATGGAGAAAGTCTCCCAAAGAGACTCCGGAACCCCAAGCTTGGGAACGAAGCAAGGCTGTGTGCTTGTGGCTGTGAGGATATGCAAAGTACCTGGTTGGCTAAGCATTGTCTACCATTCCCTGGGATCTTCTTGCCTCAGAGAGCTCTCAACTCCCCTCCCACAGAGCACAGATTAGGAAGCACTTCTTATTTACTCTCATGTTCAGAGTTGA